AGTATACCGTGATTACCAATGGTTCTTAAATTCACAACCCTTTGTAATCAAGTACACCTCGAAATCATTCGAATCTCATACAAATTTGAATTGTGAATACTCAATCACTCACTCACTCGCTCACTCACTTAAAAGACATTAAAATTCATCTCATAATTAATAATCAGCAGAATTATGATTTAATTATGATGAAAAGGCCTTCGATAGCGTCGATCGAGAGGTGCTTTGGCAACTACTTCGCTACTATAGGGTGCCACCGACAATTATACATCTCATCCAACAGCTGTACGACAATGCTGCATGCCAAGTAATCCACAACAGGAAACTCACGGAATCCTTTGAAGTGAGGACAGGAGTGAGACAAGCTGGCTGCCTACTATCGCCAATGATTTTCTCGATTGCAGTAGATTGGATAATGCGACAAACAGCGGGCAATGAGGAAACAGACATAAAATGGACCCACACAAAAAATTTGGAGGATCTAGACTTCGCCGATGATATATGTCTGATTTCCCAAAAACTGGAAGATATGCAAGCGAAAAGCAACAAGTTGACAGAAGAAGCACCAAAGATAGGACTTCAAGTGAACATAGAGAAAACAGAAGTGGTGAAGATTCCTGGGCAACACCACCGACAGTAACAACAACAACAGACAACAATCAGCATAAATGGGAGGAAGCTGAAAGAAACAATCTCTTTTACCCACTGACCTGGGAAGCATCGTTTCAACTACAGGCGGAACTGACGAGGATATCAAAGCAAGAATCGGAAAAGCAAGACAAGCTTTCACTACTCTCAAGTCTGTGTGGAGGTCAACAACACTCAGCATCAAAAATAAGATCCGGATTTTCAACTCCAATGTGAGGTCATTGCTACTACACGGATCAGAGACTTGGCCAGCGCGTCATGAAGAGCATCTCAAACAAACTACAGACCTTCATCAACAGTTGTCCTCGCTCAATACTCAAGATCAGATGGCTGGCCAGAAAAGATCAGCAACAGAGAGGGATCTCTGGGAGCGAACCAACCAGGAAGCGATTGTGAAACAAATAGGCAGGAAGAAATGGAGAAGGATTGGCTGGCCATACTCTGGGGAAACCATCAAGTGACATCACTAGACAAGCCATTGCTCGATTGGAACCCGAAAGGGAAGCGGCGAGTTGGTCTTCAGTGCAAGCCCTATGTTCCTCTAGGAATTAAACGAAACAATAATAATAAATAATAATAGGATGAGAACACTTTCCAATCTCTGATAATTATGAGAAAGGAAAGAAATTAAACTAAACTGAGTGAATGATTAATCCATCCATCCATTCTAGAAATGTTAACATCATGAAACTTCCGGTTGTTGTTTTTTCTCATTGACAAAAAAGAGAGAATAATAAGAATAATTTGATTTACCAGAAACTATATTCATTCAATCATCTATCATAATTTATTTGAACTGAAGTGAGAAATTTGTTAAAAATATTTCAAAAAATCTGCTGAAATTTTAAAAATGAAAATTCATTTCCTGTTAACCAACAAAACAAGAAGCATATTACTGTTAATAAAGTAAGATTTAATGAACTCATGAAATCCTTTATGGATAAAATTTTATTTTAGTAAAATCACACAGTAATGGACAGTAAGTAATATTTACTGATGACTACGTTTCAATCACAAATTATTGCTACTCATAATCATATGAAGGTACTACTCACACAACTTTTTTGCTTCATTTATATACATGAGTAAAAGCTGATTAGATACTCAAACGCAAAAGGTCCCAGGTATGTGTCGGTGGCACAGTGGTTACGACTCTCGCCGACCATGCACATGGTCGGAGGTTCGATCCCCTGCCAACGTACACCAGATATCTATGGTCGGCCTGCAAAATTTGGGCTACCGATATCCATGCTGAAAATTCCATACTTGTACTGAGAATACGGTGTGGTATCAAGCTGTAACCAAATATAAAAGAATATAAATATAAAAACCAATATAAGATAATGTACATTCAGAAATAATAATATGAGTGTTATCAATCAAATACAATCAGATGGGAAATAAGATGAGTGTTTTTATAGTCAAAATAAGTAACTTGTTAGATTGTTATGATGTATGTGAATTGAAACAGAATTCTGAGATTATTTATTATCCTCCTCTGATTTGACTGACTGGTGGTAATAATATCTTCCATGCATATCTTTGCTATTTGCATTGAGTCATTTCTGTTGCATGTGTTGGGTGTAGACTTGATGAACCAGGCAGGATTCAGTAATCAATCTCTCTCGCTCTCCACCTATCTATATTACTTTTTAGAATTAGCGATAGTGATAATAACAATAATAATGATAATAGTAATAATAATAATAGTATTAATGACGACACCAACAATAAAGAATCTAAATCATCAGTAGTAATTCCATACAAGGAAGGAACCTCGGAAACCACCTTACGCAGAATTCTTAACAAGGCGGGAATAAAAACGGCATTCAAACCCACAAACTCAATTAGAAACAAGCTTTGTCGGTTAAAGGATCCTGTAGAGCCTTTAAAACAAAACAATTTAGTTTATCTAATACCCTGCTAGAATGATTGTCAGGTCAAATACATAGGTCAAACTAGTAGAACAGGGGCAGTCAGACTAGCGGAACATAAAAACTTAGCAAAATCTAGATTGGTTGACCCGAATAAGATAAGAAATCTAGAGAATAGTTCAGCTATAGCACTACATGCAGTCACACACAACCATACAATAGAATGGGATAAGATGACAGTTTTAAAATCTAATGTCACAGGGTGTAGGAAGAGATCGATAACAGAAGCTTTGTATATCGAATCAACACCTCTCCACTCAGATATCTGGAAAATTCTACTACTCCAACGACCACAAATAGGAGAGAACAAAGAAAACTATAAAACTCAAGTTTCGAAGTCGTGTGATTATAATTGATGATATGATTATGAACAATAAATTTTGTTTGAAACGTCATCCAGTTAATAAAACTGTGTCACTCACTGTGTGATATATCTCATAAACAAACTAATATGGAATGACTGAAAACACTTGAAGTAAAAGTACCAAAAAGTTTAATAACAAAGCATCTTGTAGGCTACACTGACATGATATTGACGTGCTGTCAAGTCAATCACACGGTCATTGTCATCAGACGAACAAACAGGAAGTTGCTTAAAATTGTGGAGGCTAGTGCCAGTAGAGTTTACAAACTCAGTGGTCTCTGTGTACTAAAAAGAAAATGGTGGTCACTCCGAATCTACCATGGTAATATGTCTTGCTCACTAACTATGTCGCTAGCACCCTAACCTCCCGAAAAATGAAATAACTTATAGAGTCTAGAAGCACATAAACTATACTGGTTATTGACGCTTTGAATATTGAAATACTCTTCTTGCATAGGTTTATAGTGGTATAAACAGTTTAGGAGTTTTAAAAAATGGTATTATTCGACGATTTTCTTCAGATAACAGACAATAAGGATTTATAGGCGAGAATTTATGGAGATAGAGATGCAAACAGATTTCTCTGCTGTTGACATTCTTCTGTGGACTGTAAATAAACAGTACTAGTGCCTTGGTTTCGGTTTCCAGTATAAATGAAAGTGGTAGCATAATTGAAAATCGATAGCAGACGCAAAGATTTATGCATTATCATTTATTACGCATCCCCTGTTTTTCGTCTGCAGTACAGGATTCCGGCAGCATGTCTTCATTCCACACACTTGCAGATAGCTATAAAGGCTTTGATCTCCCCCCGTTACATGATCTTCTCCATATCACTATTAGACCGACGACCAACTAGTCGCCTACCATTGAATATATTTACTGAACTTGTTGTTTTCCTGCTAACCCATATGGACAGGTCGGAGAACTTACGCTAAGATTCGATGCTATGAACGGTTCTTCTTATTTATGCGTGTTCACTGCTCGGCAGTTTGCTCTATCATTTTTTTATGTCTGTGAAACCTTACCACTAAAAATGGAGGATATGAAGAGACTAGCTGTCTCTGACTACGGGTGTCTGCATACGATATCTCGTATTAGATATTATAATAGGGTGAGTAATGATGAGGTTAGGTATAGTGAAAGTCGATCAATTACGCCTTGAAATTTCATCGATTGAAGTGGCTAGGATATGTGTTGTACCTCACTTATTGAGTAATGTCAGATGATATACGATTAGATTTTTAAAAGAGTTAGAGGTGTTCAAATCGAGAACCAGCATTAATCAGTAAAGTCTGAGACTGTTGATGCTTGCCACTTAGCGTGGCACAGGTCCTGGAGAGGCTAAACACCCATGCCTACAGACTGTTGGTCAAGTGGTTCAAAAGTATTCTCTCTGACTTAGATGCATTCACCTTTTGTGACATGGCAGAATCACGAAATCTTCATTATTCTCAATGTATTTTCGAATTGTGGCAACTTCAGCTGCAGAAAATTCGTGTTAAGTCAGTCAGTTTCCTTATTATAAGTTAATAGGTGGATGGTGACTAGCAGTGGAATCCAGCTTGATGCGCATTTCGTCCTATTAGGGACTCGTCACTGGATATACCTGAGACCGAGCACTTCGATCCAGTCAGTCGACGGGAAAATCTAAAATTGAATTAAATAATTAACATGACCCAATGCACAAGAGGGGGCCAACTCTCGTGACCCAAGTGGTCTGGTGGATAACGCTTTGGGGTTGGAAACTATGGGCACTGGGTTCGAGCCTCGGTGGTGAGAACATCATCACTCACTGGGAAATGCAGGTACATCCAGTTGACGAGTCCCAAATAGGACGAAATGGGCATCCTGGATTCCACCACTAGTCACCATCCACCAATTAAAATCTAATTAAATGCCCAGACATCGTCAAAGCATCTGCACAAGAAGCCGACATGTCAACCTGAGACCGAGCACTTAGGTCCAATCAATCGACGGGAAAATCTGAAATTAAATTAAATAGTCTCCTTACTGCTGATTGGTTACCATAACTTATTTAATTATACTTTTAGAATTTGAATTAAAAAAACATGGTCTGATTCCTGAAGAAATAGAAACAAATCGCGCTATAGCTATTGAATCATTTAATACACCACAAGTAACTTGTGTTTATTTTGATTAATTAATTAAACAAACTTTTCTAATTCATAACTTTTATTGAGCCCATTTAATGTAATGCATGAAAATTCAGGGGAATATGAATATCAGTCTGCAGAGGATGAGGATAAGGATATTGCCGATTTGAAAGATCCAAAATCAGACTATGCAAAATCATGTAAGTAAGTGATTTTAGTGACATTGGTGAACGTTTGGTTGTCAGCCTAAATTGCTTGGTCAGTGTAATCTCATCACTGGATAAATAAATTTATTTAATTAAAAAAGCACAGTAGTATAGTAATGAACATTGCTCATAATCATATGAGATCACTTATATAACTTTTAAACTTTGTTTATATAGTTCCATTATTTCGTATACCTTAATTTAATTGGTTGTAATATGTTTATGTGTGTAAAACATGGGCACTGTGGTAGTAGTATATAATTTCATATCAATTTGTTTATTAGATATATCACATAGTGAGTGTAGAAGTATTATTTACAGGATGACAAAGTTTCAAACACAATTTATTACTCTTCATAATCATATCACCAATTATAACCAGTCAACTTCAAAACTCAAGTTTTGTAGTTTAATTTATTCTTTCCTATTCGTCATCACAGAGGTAGTAGAATTTTCCAGATATCCGGGTGGACAGGTGTTGAATCATTCCTATTACACGTGCTCGTTTGCAGTTGATTCGATAAACAAAGCTTCTGTTATCAATTTCTCCCTCCACCCTGCTATTACATTAGATTTTAAAACTGTCATCATCCCACCTTATTAGGGTCAACTAATCTAGATTTTGCTGCTAGTCTGACTGCCCCTGTTCTACTAGTTTGACCTATCTATTTGACCTGGCAATCATTCTAGCAGGGTAAACTAAATTGTTTTGTTTAATTGACTCCACAGGATCCAGCCTTTTTACCGGCAAAGCTTGTTTCTAATCGAGTTTGTCGGTTTAAATGCCACTTTTGTTATTGCCTCTATTGTAAAGAATTCTGCATAAGGTTTCCGAAGTTCCTTCTTTGTATGGAAGTTCAACTTAGCGTTGTAATTATCCTGAGCAGGGTTAACATGCATGTCGTCATTAATATTATTATTATTATCACTATCACTACTATTATTATTTATTTTATTTTTACAATTCCCCACATACTTCCTGATTAATTTATCGGGGTAATTATTAAGTTTCAAGGCTTCTTTTATGTGTATCAGTTCCTGTTTCAGATTTTCCTTGGTACTATTGAGTTTTTGTGCTCTGTCCTTTAAACATTTCACCAATCCTATTTTTACTAACATAGGATGGGATGATCGGAAATCCAAATATCTGTTTGAATGTGTGGGTTTCCTGTTCAACTTCCCATATTCTTTCCTTTTTACGTTGCAATCTAACATTGGGAGCTCCCCTTCCTGACTTTCCAATTCATAAGTGAATTGAATCACCCCCGTATAGATTAAGACCAGTAGATTGGGGGTGGTTTAGTTTCCAGAAGAGAAGAATTTAGCTAAGTGTAGAATGACTGACTCCGCGAAAATAAGTAATTTAGTAAAAGATCTTCGCATTTGCACTGCATGCATTAACACACACAACCACACAACGGGGTGGAACAAGGCGACAGTTCGAAAAGTAAAGCTGATTATTGCAAGGAGAGGTTGATCACCGAATTTCTCTTCATCGAATCTACACCCACCACATGCAACAGGAATGATCCGTCATCACTAATACCAGAGATCTGGAAAATATTAATACCAATCAAAACAAGAGATGGAAAATGATGGAATCATTATTATTATTGTTCCCTTGGGTTCCTAGTGGAACATAGGGCTTCAACAGCACGTCTCCACTTGCTTCTACTTTCTACTGTACTTTTCACCTGCATCCATGTTAGTTCATACTGTTTCAACTCCTCTTCACACGATCTCCTCCATGTCACCCTTGGACGTCCCACTCGCCGCTTCCCTTTCGGGTTCCACTCGAGGCCCTGACGTGCGATGTCACCCAGCGGCATCCTCAGCCAGTGAGTGTCCAATCCATCCATCTTCACTTTCTCCTGCATATTTGTTGAGTGGTTGGTTCTTGTTTTGTTTGTTCCCATAGTTTCAATGTTGGTGATTCTTTCCGGCCATATGATCTTCAGTATAGAACGAAGACAGTTGTTGATAAAGGTCTGCAACAGGCTGTTGGAAATGTTCTTTGTGACCCGCCAAGTTTCTGATCCGTATAGAAGAACTGGCTGACTTGACGTTTGTATTGAAAATCCGAATTTTGTTGTTGATGCTGAGTAAGTGATGAAGATTTCCAGATTGGTTTCAGGTTGATGAATGTGTTTCTCGCCTTCCCGATTCTCGATTTGACATCCTCGTCCGTCCGTTTCTCCTGTAGTTGAGACAATGCTCCCTAGATAAGTGTGTGTTTACTCCAAACGCCTCGCTGAGTTTTCCGTTGTGGATCACTTGATATGTGCCGTTGTCGTACAGCTGTTGAATAAGGTTGATGAATATTTGGGGTACGAATGGAATTATATTAACATGATTTAAGCAAACACAAATATTCGGTAAGTTCTCACTAGGCTTTCTGTTGACATAATGAAATACTAGTCACCGGCGTTTGAATTAATGTGGCTTATAGAATAAAAGATCAGAGTTCAGAGATATGAACTGATGAATAACAATCGAGGTGATCATAATAACAAAGATAAATTCATTCAAATGTTTATATAATCTAAGCTGTGGTGAGTATATAGGTAGAATGTGCGTACTATTAGGGTTAGGGGTGAAAATAACAATGGTCACATATCGATTAGATAATATAATAATAATAATAAATTGTGAAACGGAGATTAAAATGTACAACTACAGCACAGAATGATACTGATAATACAGTTAGCAGTACAAATAAAAATAAGATAAGATAATGCATACAGTTATGCGGTGTAACGGGAAAGATAACTGTTTGTCTGTTTTCGACATAGAACTTTGCACATATGTGGGGCAGTTCAAGTCGCCACACTCCATGTAACACACAAAGCCAGAGAAGTAAGAAGAAATGCAAAATAGAGACAGTGAACAGAGATATGAGACAAAAAGAATAGCAATATAGAAGAACAACATAGTTTCATTGGGTATTATAAGTCACAAGGAGTGGATGCATCTCCACCATTGTCGAGAACGATGAGTTTGAGCCATATCACCAATTATATCCAGCCTTCATTGGTGTTTAACATCCCGAGGACCCCAACCAGCCAGTCAGGAAGTTCACACCTTCCTACGTGGCTTAGACTAACTGTTGTGGGTTTCATTGACTGGTGCCATGTTTCGGTTTGACCGCCGCTAGCTCTTTTCCAGCCTGACGCTATATCAGCTAACATTGCCCGTCGAGGAAGGTGATGTGTAGAGATGCATACGTAACACATGTCCTAACTATCTTAGTCGATGTAGCCTCACAGCCTCGTCGACTGATTTCCCCTCCCACCTACCTATCACTCGACCGATGCCTAACCTCAATATTATTTACTCTACTATACCACTTCACACGGGAGATAGAACGCAGGCACCTATGATCAAAGACAGCTAACCGGTTTTTTCATGTCTTCCACTCTCAACGGCCAGGTCTCACTCACAGCCAGAAAGGAGGACGGAGCGGACTGATGATCAGTACACACGCCCTTTGGTCGATAGTCGGATGTCACGTCTACTAAGTCAGAAACGGCGTAAACAGGTATATGCGAAACGAGCATTCTGTATATGTGCTGAGATCTTTTCAACGATCAACCCGTTGGTACCGGCTGATGCAACTTCCCAAATAAGTGAAGCGTTCAACGTGCTCTACCACTTTACTTCCTATTTCTAAACTAGGAGTCAGTTTAGTCCATTCCTGTAACATCATCTTACATTTGGCATGAGCGAATTGCATGCCAAACATTCGTAGATTGCAGCTTAAGGCGTTCAGAAGACTGTGCATTTTGTCAGCGTCCTCACCTAGAAGGACTATATCATCTTCATATTCTAAGTCGACGAGATTATTCCCTGGTAGCAAGTCAATCCCTGAGTCGCTGAAGTGAGTTAGGGTTAAATCCACTAGTACATCTATGTTGAAATTGAATAGAAATTGGGATAATAGGTATCCCTGACGGGTACCACTAGTCGTCACCACTTCAGATGACAACTTGCCGTAAGCCTTCACGTGGCTGCATGAGTTCGAGTAAAGTTCCTTGATAAGTGCAATGTATTTTCTCGGCATTCATTTTACAGCCAAGTACCGCCATAGTACCCGTCGCTCAACAGAATCGAATGTCGCCTTTAGGTCAAGAAATATAATGATTGTTGAACGCCGGTAGGAATGCCTATGTTCTGGAATCGGTCGGAGGGTGAGGATATGATCAATACACCCTCTTCCTGGTCTAAAGCCTGCCTGGTTTTCTCATGTTTGTGCCTCCCGAGCACCTCTTAGTCTAAGCATGATTGTTGAGCCTAGGACTTTAGATACTACATTAGTCAAGCTAATCCTGTGATTATAACAGGAAGACTTTTCTCCCTTCTTGTATATCTGGATGACCAGTGACTTACACCACCCGACGGGACTTTCTGTGATTCCCAGACGCTACCTAGTACCTCAGATAATGCAGACAGTAAACTGTCTCCACCGTATTTAAATACCTCTGGAATCATTCCATCAGGTCCCGCTGCTTTGCTATTTTAGGTTGGGGGTAAAGGCCAACAAGGGGAGTGAGATTGTACAAACGTTTTGTGAAGACAGAGACTGGACTGAAAAACTTTTATGTCAGCTGCCTCAACTATGCTTGGAAACCGAAGACGAATCGACCAAGGGAGTTGAGGTGGTGCCTTGTATAGAACTGCAAAAGCGGAATTCTTATCAATCTTGTGCTCCAAAGTGTGCTAGTATGGAAATTTCTGACTAACTTTACGACTCCTCTACCTAAACACATTGGACAATACTCCAGAAGGCGATGGTGGGCTTGAAGAGTCGTTCTACCCATGTAATTGTCTCCACATTGAAGTGGCCAAACCCAGTAGCTTATCCTTCACTTGCATTGGAATTATACAAAGAGTGGAGAATTTTAAAGGCAATGTTGTGTCAAAGAATTTTTCAAAGATTCGGTGGCACAGCGGTTAGGACTCTCGCCGACCATGCAAATGGTCCGGGGTTCGATCCCCTGCCGACGCACACCCGATATCTATGGTCGGCCTGAATTTGGGCTACCGATATCCATGCTGAAAATTCCACACTTGTACTGAAAATACGGTGTGGAATCAAGCTGTAAATCAAAATAAAGTAAAATAAATTCTAGCCAGCAATTCAGTTGCTGTGTCTCCTTTAAACGGTGAAGTAATGTATATGGGTTTCTTCTGCACAGTTTGTAGGCATTTCTTTCTATTTGTTCTACTCTTGGAGACTTTAAAAAAATTTAAGAGGATCCGTCATCAAATGAAACGAAGTTTTTTTTTCATGTTTCAATGATATTTGTGTTAAACAAGTTAATCTTTTTTCCAGTGACCTTGAATCCCTATTCGATTTTAAATGCAGATGATTTTTTTCCGGTCAGTTGTTTACTTATCCCCTTGACCTTGACATATTTTTACTGTTCGATACACAAAAACAAAATGAATTTATTTCTTATGGGAAAGAAGGACTTTTTGTTTATCTAATTTATGTTGAATGGGTCGATTTATTTTCTCATGCTTGACTTCCAAATGTTTGATTCTCAGTTGATTGTACTTTACATTCTTAAGTGTTACTTTGTTGCTTTGATTTCAAATTTAATCACAGATTGATCTCACTTAGAGAACTGATTGGAAACCGACAGGGAGTCCTAAACAGCTGTTTCGTCCTAGCTTGGCACTTTTCATTAGCACGCATATAGGCCCCCTCCCTCATATCTAAGACTTTCATGCTGTTAGATGAACTCGTTGATAATTTGGTCACTGGGATGGGACTCAATCGCCAGGCTATAAATACTAACTTCTACCAATTCGAAATTTTAGCATGACCATTGGCTAATTTCATCCTTGGTTACTTCTCTTCAGACCTACCTTGGTAGACCCCTAGCGGTTAACCCTTTCTGATTAAACATGCATGAACTCCAGCACGTTTTCAGTTCCTAGTGAGTGACTGACTGACTGGTTTCAAAATACAACTTTGAACCGATGTGCAGCAGTTCGAGTCGCCATACTCCCTTCATGTAGCACACAAAGCAACAGAAGAAAGTAGAAGAAATGCAAAGTAGAGAAAGTAAAGACAGATATGAGGCAAAAGGAATAGTAATATCGAAGAACAACATAGTTTCATCGGGTATTACAAGTCACAAGGAGTGGATGCATGTGCGCCATCATCGAGAACGATGAGTTTGAGTCATATCACCAATTGTTTCGAGCCTTCATTGGTGTTTACCGTTTCGAGGAACCCAACCAGGAAGTCTACACCTTCCTGCGTGGCTAGCTTAAACTAACTGTTGTGGATTTCATTGACTGATGAAGCCATGTTTTGGTTTGACCACCACTGCCCAACTCTTTTCCAACCTGACCCTATGTCAGTCAGCTAACATTGCCCATTGTTGAGGAAGGCGGTGACTAGGCATACGTAACACATGTCCTAACTATCTCAGTTGATGTAGCTTCACAGCCTCGTCTATTGATTTCTCCCCCCCCCACCTACCTAGCACTCGACTCCTAACCTTGATATTGTTCAACCTATTATACCATTTCCCACGGGGGATTGAACGCAGGTACCTATGATTAAAGACAGCTAACCGGCTTTTTTTATGTCTCCCACTCTCAATAGTCATGTCTCACAGCCAGCCATAAAGGAGGACGGAGCGGACTGCTGAGCAGTAAACCTGCCCTTTGGTCGGCAGCCAGCCAGGTATCACGTCTACTAAGCCACAGTTGGAATATATCAAACAAGCCTTCTGTATCCTTGTTGAGATTTCGTCAACGATCAACCTGCTGAGGCTGATGCAGATTCCTACCCAAATAAGTGAAGTGGTCAACATGCTCCACCAACCACTTCACTCCCTATTTCTAAGCTGGGAGTGACTCAGTGTAGTCCAGTCCTGTAGCATCATCTAACAACTGGCGGGAGCTACTGATCACTAAGGCGGGGGAGGTCGTTTGTAAACCCAAATAACTAAGTGGTAGTAATGCTGATGTCAGTTTGAATCCCCAAGTCTACACATACACGTCATGCTAACAAGTGCATGAGACGAGACTCTGCGATCTCCTCTCCTACCGATGAACTTTAACCACTTGACGATAAATCTAACATAAGAATAAAATTTCCATGTTCATTTATAACGTTATAATGTCCCTTTTTGTTCTGTTTTTTTTCTTATAGGCAGGGCAAGTGAATATCTAACACATTTTATATTCCCCTGTCTCCTACCGGCTATGGAAGAAATGCTTAAAAAAGCGCAAGAATCACGTTGTTTTGAGGTAAATATCTTCTTATCATAATAGCCTTTGTTAGTAATACAATGATTTAAAAAGAATGGGTACTGAACATAGAAGATTCACTTTTTCGATAACCTACTCTTCATCAGGTTCCTCAATTATATATCCATCCGTAATAGTGAATGAATGAATTAGTGTTATGAACAACATTAATGTTGTTTAAATAACATCGAATCAATAATATTGATAGATTACAGCCCAATAGCATTAACATAACAATACACTGAAAGTCAGAAAATTTAGGGAAAAATAATAATACAAATTCATGAATTTATAGTCTCTAATGAAGGCTAGCCAGGGCAGTAGCAGTGGCTGATTGGACTTGCTTCTTTCGCACACAAAACACTGATTGTTTCACGCGAATCGCGATAGCCTCTACTGTTTGGTGCATGCGGTACCTTGATGTTTTTGGCAATTTATTTGCTACTCCATAGATGATGATGGAGAAGGACTCTTCAATGCTAGCTGGCTTTGTGGCCGGCCGGTTTGAACCAGGTGTTCTAATATCGAACTGTTAATGGTTTTCAATACAACTTTACTTAGCCATACAGGGAGATGTTCGCAAGTGAGCACGAAAAATCAAGTTCCTAGAAAAACGACCAATATAACTCGCCCCACCAAAAGCGCAGTTGAATTGGCAGATACAATTAGAGGAATCATAATCGGTTATGTATAAAACATGATTTGTAGTTTACCAGCACTAAAAGTTCTTCAACCTGATTTCCTTAACCTCTTCGTAATTATTTCGCTTGGTCTATCGCCCATGAATTGCAGTCGTATATAAATAGGTTTCTTGTTTCCGGATAGTGAGTAGTCCTTCTCCTCTTTCTTTGTCATGTGTTTCTTGATAAATTTGTCTGGATAGCTACTTTCCATCATGGTAACATATACGGCGCTTAATTCATCTTCAATTACTTCTTTTGAGCATATCGCTCAAACTCTGTGGCTGAGGGTCTCTACTAAATTTCTTTTATATTGTAGAGGAATGAAGCTGTGAAAATGTGAATACTGTCCTGTCCATGATTTAAAAAGATATTTTTAGTTGTTGGCTGACAAGAATTTGATTGATTTGATCTGAAACCAACTTCAGTCTGAGGACCCTTGAAAACCGGGGACTACTAGACGGCCCTTTGGGCCTTTTTCGGGACTCTTCAGCCTTGACGCACTCATGACTCTACCAGTAACCGAGTTCTGAACCTTCAGGTTAAAAGGTGAGCTCGCTGACCGCTCAGCCACTGGGACGGAATCCATAGGCGCATCAGTTCTAATTTCTGCCATCTCGCGATATATAGGATGACTGTTAGCTAATATCATTGGCAAGTATTTCTCCTGGTGTCCAGCCTGGTAGATAACTATTCAGTACTCTCTGCTTTTCAGGGGTTCCCTAAAAGAAGTGAGTTCTTGACGAAGTTTTGAAAAAATTACTTTGATTGGAAAACTCTTAAACTACTTAATGCCAGGGAAATCAGTAGTGTAAATATATCGAGTGAATATATTTTATCACATACTACTGTGTGATTTTAATCACACAGACTAGACACATTACACTAGTTGCTGACTAGTGTGCAATCAAAAAAATAACCAATGCAGTCCTACAGGAGGTTAGTCACGAGGCTGAATAGCTCAGTGGTAACGTCTCTGACTGCAGCACTGGGTGACGCGGGTTCGAATCTCAGAAGGGATATCAGTTCCTTCAAGGTTGCAGATACGCCTTGCTGATGAGTGCCAACTAGCACGAAACCTTGGTCCAAGGCTTCCTGCCGATTACCTCCAACCATCTAATACCAACGACTTTAATCACACATCGTAATGGGTAGAGATTAGTTTGGCACGTGGTTCACCACTGTCATATGTAAGACAATGCTACACAATTGGATTAAGTAAACGTTTTGGGAAGTTTATCAGTTCAGTTGAACTGATTACTGACAAAATTTCAGTAGTAATGAAGAAGAAGAGATTGGTCTTTAACAACTTGAGTTACTTCTCGTGCACAGATGATATTCAGTAAGTGTTACAGCTGTTCGTTCTGTTCCTCTCTAAGGATGGAATATTTGGCGACTGAAAATTTAAAAAAAATGAAATGATTAACGAATTGTCATCACAGGCGTCTCCAGCTCAGTCTTCAGGATTAGCTGGAGTAGCATATTAAATATCAATGAGGTTGGATTCCGAGTAATTGGTAAGGCAGGAATGTCAGTTTGCGGGGTTATGCAACTACATCGATCGAGATGGTTAGGACATGCATTAGGCATACAGAATCACAAATTTCTTTGACAAGCAATCTTATTGAAGAACGATTAGGTTAGCAAAAAGCTTTACCCTTGACTGGATGAAAACATGATATCGGTCTTCGGCTGTTGGTGCAGACTGCTTAGTTGGTGTGCTCAAGATGCTCAAACTGCAATGTCTGCAGAATCATAGCGATATGCTCCAGTATCATTCACGATGGTGCAGATGTGTATATTTCTTATAATATATGAGGTTATTTAGTTACCCACCTCCCCACATCATAAACATCTGCACATGTTGTCACTTCAATGGATTTCTTTACTGTACTTTATGTTTGCATTTTTGAAGTTTCGTAAATTGAATTTATACACCTTTGGGCAGATTTCTACATTTTGTCACCAAGCAGTGAGTCATTGAAAGAACCATTCCAAATGAATGGACATTTCATAAATAGTTCTATCAGGTATAGACCACGGTTAGAGAACCATTGAAAACCAGCAAGGAGAACTGGATAGCCAGCTGTTTCGTCAGCCTAGTTTGGGACTGACTCTTCGGTAGTATGCACCCACCGGTTGTGTTGCGAACCCAAGACCTCCCGGATACAAGACAAGCTCGTATACCATTCAGCCACTGGGACCCCATTTGATGGCCAGCCCATGAATTCTAACTCCTGCCAATTAGTAATTTTTGGCGCGATCACCGCCCAATGTCATCGGTGGGAACTTCATTTCACCGAAAATACCCATTGAGTCATGAAGAAAATAAAAGACGGATTCAGCGAAGAAAATTTTCTTCATCGACGAAATCACCTTCAGAGGCTGGCTGTACAGTCGTATTTATACTTACAAAAATATATAGTGGTCTATTATTGAGAATTAGGAGGGAGGTGACATAATTGATATAATTACTCAGAAGTGGCTTTAGAAGTGAAAATTAGAAGTTGAAAATTACATGGTATCACCGAAAATACCCATTGAGTCATGAAGAAAATAAAAGACAGATTCAGCGAAGAAAATTTTCTTTATCGACGAAATCATCTTCAGAGGCTGTACAATCGTATTTATACTTACAAAAATATATAGTGGTCTATTATTGAGTAATAGGGGGTGACATAATTGATATAATTACTCAGAAGTGGCTTTAGAAGTGAAAATTAGAAATTGAAAATTACGTGGTACTCAACAGAACAAAGATAGAAATTTGATAAGGTTAAAATTGCTATTAAGTGAGAATAAAGGTATTTGAGTGTCAGTTTAACAAGTGTGAAGAGGGTGTGAAAATATACAAAGGGAGCATATGAGAGTGATAATAGTGAATTAATTATTAAAGCAAAAGCTAACTATAAGTGAAATTAGAATGAAAAGAAAAAATAAAAAAAAATTTTTTTTATTATTTTATTTACAAGGAACGATTAGTGAAGAGGTTAAGACCAAGGTAGAATAAGAGACTGGACAAACGTTTTCTGTATACAGAGTTCAGGGTTGTATTGATGAATTGCTAGAGCCTCCGCCATACACGAAAGCCGAAACCTGACGCCCTTTGTACCATTTGGCTTCACTTTGTAGATGATCTTGAAAGACGATTCTGGTGGAGCTACGTGGCCTGAGTTTACCAAATGTTCGAGAATTGAGCTATTAATTGTCTTACATTGTCCCTTTGCTAACCATGCCGGATAATGCTCAGAGATGCGTTTGGAAAGCGTGCGCTTTGTGCGGCCAATATAACTAGCTCCACACGAGCAAGTGAATTTATAAACACACATTGAGGTGGCCCAAAGCGGCAGTTTATCCTTCACACACCCGTTGATCATTTGGCGGCTGTAGAAGTTGATACGTAGCTCAGCCATAAAGAAGGCTTTCCTCAGTGATCTGCATAAGCGATTCTTCAGGATCTCAGCTGCGGTATCACCTTTAAATTCGACACTCATAAACAGTAGTTTCTTCGGCACCGTCTGTATTCTTTCGGGTTTTCCCCTTGGCTTCATGTTTTTCTCGATGAATCTTGGAGGATATCCGTTCTCTATGAGGACTTGTCTGAGTCTCTCCAGTTCCCCAACGATTGTATCACTTGAACATATCCTCCTTATTCTTGAGGATAAGGAATGGATCAGATTTCTCTTTCTTCTCAAAGGGACCCAGCTATGGAAATTTGTGTATTGACCATTCCATGTTGGTTTCCTGTAGATCGATCTTTGAAGAGAGCCATCCGATCTCCTCTTTAGAAAAACATCCAAAAAATGGAATTCCGAGTTATTCTCTGATTCCGACGTGAACTTGATGGCATGATGGCAGCTGTTGAACTCTTTGGTTATCAATTCGATGTCGGTATTGTCGTCACATATGATGAAAGTATCATCAATGTATCTTTGGTACAGATGGAAGCTGTCGATAGTAGGCCGTACTCAACGGTAGGCGGTACTCAACGGCAAAAAGATAGAAATTTGATAAGGTTAAAATTGCTATTGAGTGAGAATAAAGGTATTTGAGTGTCAGTTTAACAAGTGTGAAGAGGGTGTGAAAATATACAAAAGGAGCATATGAGAGTGATAATAGCGAATTAATTATTAAAGCAAAAGCTAACTAAAAGTGAAAGTAGGATGAAAAGAAAAAATCAAAAAATATTTCATTTACAAGGAACGATTAGTGAAGAGGTTAAGACCAAGGTAGAATAAGAGACTGGACAAACTTTTTCTGTATACAGAGTTCAGGGTTGTATTGATGAATTGCTAGAGCCTCCGCCATGCACAAAAGCCGAAACTTGACGCCCTTTGTACCATTTGGCTTCACTTTGTAGATGATCTAGAAACTTCATTCTCATTTTCGATTGAATGGGACCCCCTCGTCACGACATTTCACTAGAACTTCAGGCAACTTTGTCCAGAAGGCAGTCAGTCACTAACGAACATCAGATTAATCTTCAAGAAATAGTTTGAAACCCGGTGGGTGTGCACCGCCGATGAGTCCCGAACTAGGATGAAACACCTGCCCAGTACTCCGTGCTGGTTTTCAATCACTCTCTAACAGATATGAATCTGTGGTCTAACCTGAAAGGAATGGAATTCCTACAAAAAAATCAATTCTTGAAAAATAAATATCTCTACCAAATTTAGTAATCCTTACTTATTATTATTATTTCCTTTAATTCCTAGAGGAACATACGGCTTCAGCCGTGCGTCTCCATTTCGTTCGGTTCTCTGCTACAGTCTTCACCTGGCTCCAAGTCTGCCAACACGTTTTCATCTCCTCTTCACATGATCTCCTCCAAGTCACCCTTGCACTGACTACCAACTCGCCACTTCCATTTCGGTTTCCACTCGAGCAATGGCTTGTCTAGTGATGTCACTTGCTGGTTTCCTCAGAGTATGGCCAGCCACTCCATCTCCATTTCCTTCTACATATTTGTTTCACAATCGGTTCCTGCTGGGTTGGTTCGCTAATTGCCAGAGATCTCTGTTGCTGATCTTTTCTGGCCGGCCATCTGATCTTGAGTATTGAGCGAAGACAACTTACTTATAAGAATCGATAAAGCCTTACCTGAAATCGATATATATTTCATCCGGTCTCACAGATAACTTATTGTCATCTAGTTAATGTATCATAATTTATGAACTTCTGACAGTACTGCAGTCAAGAGTGAACGTACATTAAAAATAAGACGAAAGAGTGAAACCAAACAAAAGAGAATTGTAAACATTACAGAGTAATTTCCAATTAACAGGTGAATACGATGAATCCTTTTATTATTATTATTCCCTTCAGTTCCGAGTGGAACACTGGGCTTCAGCAACACATCTCCACTTTGCTGTATTTTAGTGCTGTCCTCTTCAGCTGGGTTCACGATTGCCCACAATCTCTCATCTCCTCCTCATACGATCTCCCCCATGTCACCCTAGGACGACCCACTCGTCGCTCCCCATTTGGATTCCACTTGAGGGCCTGGCGCGCGATTTTGTTCGATGGTCTCCTCAGTGTTTGCCCGATTCATCTCCATTTTACCCCTACATATTTGCTGAGAGATCAGCTCTCACCCGTTGGTTTTTTCTCAGCCAGAGTTCCTTGGTGCTAGAAATTTGATCTGTGCACCTCCTTTAGCAAGATTCACACGTATTCTGTAGATAACTTTGAAATTTCTTTGTGGTTTAACTTGGTGTCCAGGTTCGATCAGGTGTTCCAGGATAGAGCTGAGGCGGATAGATCATTTCTCTCCTATATAAAACCATATATATATTCAAACTTGTTTATATTTCTCTAAATTTTAGAAAAAACGTTTTGGATTCAATGGTTTGGACTTTTTAACCCTGTATTTATACAAGAATAACACATATACTAAAGACGATAGAACTGCCCTGCAAACATTATCCGACATTCCATGGATTTCAAAAGAATGGGAGAAAAATCCACGAAAACCGCTACCACTCAGCTTACAATGGTCAGATGACGAAGCAGCTATCAAATTACAATCCTACTGGAGAGGTTATCTAGTAAGTTGATGTGATATATAACTCAGGTGATTGATGATTTCGATTTGGTTGTATTCCTGTGAGCTGGTTTGTTAGCTTCATTGCGATGCTTTCGTTGTCCTCCTTCTAGACAACATCGTTTCAACGCAAAATTCAATTTAAAGTGAACTTACTTGGTTGAATTCTTCATGAATGATGGTATAATTGTATCTCCTGACAACCTTCTTTGTGACTGGCTGTTAATTTACACTTTTATTGATCATTTTTATTGACCTGGTGTTTGACTTCTTCGTCTTATGAGAAGGAAGCAAAGAACATCCTGGATAAATTTAACGAGGTTCATCCTGTAATAAATTTTACTATTGAGAAAGAAAAAGACTCTAGTATTTCATTTCTAGAAGTCCTTATGACCAGAAAAGAGGATGGCACAATAAGAAGAAATGTTTATAGAAAACCTACATCAACGGGTCAGTACACACATTTTATCAGCTTTGTGCCCTTGAAATACAAGCGCAATCTGATAAAGTGCTTGGTCAGCCACAGAGCAAGAGCAATTTGCTCGGATGAATGTCTTGATGAGGAACTTAATAATATTAGACGGTTGCTGAGTGAAAATGGTTATCCAGAAAAGTTTAATGATAAGAATATGATTCTAAAGTCAAAGCAGACCAAGTTACCAACAGTTCCAAAAAAACCTTATTCTTACAAATGCAGTTCCTTGAGGATAACATCTGCGAGATACTAACACAGTGCCTTAGAAATGCGGTAAAAAGAGCATTCCCTGGTGCTGAATTACGCCGTCTTCAAGACCACCCAACCCTATTTCGCCTTCGGGAGTAAAAGACAAACGGCCTAATTTCGCCTCTTCCATGTGTAACTACCGATTTAACTGCTCCCGTGGAGCCAGTCAGTTGCATAGGCCGTACAATTAGGCGTGTTTCTCGTCGGATTTTCAAAAATCACCCTGCGTGATGGTTAAGTAAAGGACAAACAAAATCCAAACAACCACAAACAAAATATATTCGCATAGCTCTATTCTATCTGATCTTGTGGATACAGAACACAAGATCCATATTAACAAGTCTAATTTATGCATCCAAAAGAAGCTGGTTCAGAAATTGTCCTTACCTTGGCCTAAATTTTGTGGAATTTCCCTAATTTAAGTTGATATTCTATTCGTTACTATATCTTTATTATTATTATAACTTAAGCATCTTTAATGAACTGTAATTCCACTGTGATCTTACTTAACAAATCGATATTATTTAAAATGCACACCAATATTGTTATTGACTACTATTCTAGAATATTCTATGTATATAAACACATAGGTATATAATTATGGAGGCAGAAGACGGAATTATCGAAAGGGGGATATTCTTTGCTCAATTATATTTTGTGTTTTATAGATGTTTGAATGAATATTTCTGCTATATTCTGTGTTAGTTGGGTCGAGTCCCAATGGTTGAATGATCTACGAGCTCGCCTTGTAATCGGAAAGTCTTGGGTTCGAATCCTGGTGGGTGAATACCGCTAAAGAGTCCTCCAGCTACGACTAAATAGTTATCCAGTACTTTACGGCTGTCGAATGATCCTCTAATTGATGTCAGGTTGTGACCGAACTCGTGACCAATCAACGCTTTGTAAATTAACACTTGAAAATCAATCAATCTAATCAATCAATTAAAGAACAAGTCACATGGTGAAAGGGTCAGATATAATTTCGAAGAAATGATCAATACGAATACAAATTAACACAATAAATAAGGCTTGATGGGTCAATAAAAAGATCTATTTATATATAGAAAACCTACGTAGACAGGACGGTATCTTAATTATCACAGTTTCTGCCCTGTTCGGTACAAAAGAGCCTTAGTAAGGTGCCTCTTCAGTAGAATCCAACGAATATGCACTAAAGACACACTTGATGAAGACGAAAGAAAGTTGACAAAAACTCTGGTTGATAACAGTTATCCAGACAAGTTCATCAGGAGATATAAAGTAGTCAGAACACCAAGACCCACTCTACAACTCGCCCCTGAGAAAGACGTGTACATCAAGCTACCCTGTATGGGGGGCATCATAGCAGCTTGATAACTAGACAAAGATTGAACGCTGCTTTGTGGTTAAAAAGACTTTTTATGCAGCTAATATCATAATAATAACTGAGAATTTGAAGCCAATATATCCATCTAATCCCTTTCAACATGCGAAAAGTGATGTCACATCCCACTGTATTTACCAATTTGAATGTACATGTGGACACACATACATAGGGAGGACTCATCGATCTCTGCAAGTAAGGGCTGGCTTCAGAGCATATTCCTAAATGGCAGATAGAATCCCCAGAACCCATTAATATTAAGAACAGGCAACCTAGCTCCTCTACTGCGAAACATATTATAAAGACAGGACATAAAATTGACATTAACACATCTTTTAAACCTATCTATAAGGAGTGTTTGGGGGAGGGCGTGTCCTAAAGTTTGTGGAAGCCCTAGCAACTAGAAAGTCTAAGCCGCGTCTATGCGTTCAAAAACAATTCGTCAACATATTAAACCTTCCTTGGTAAATTTCGTTTTGATACCATAGCAGATGTACTATTACCTCTGTTATTTAGTTTAGCGATCTTCATTGTTATTTTGACCTTCAGGATGTCCTTTTAAACTTGACCTAATTAGTTTATTTTCTTACCTCTTAACTATTTATTAATTTCATATATATTCCTATGACAAGTCCGTGTGTGATCAGATTGTTCGAAATGCGTGTTGCGCAAATACATTACATACACGATTCAGACAAATAACGTCTTCTTATTGCTTCATCTCAATAAGGAAGTGTTCGAAAACAACCAGTCACATTGAACATCATCAACAGAGACACTTATACTTTAGTTGGACAGGAGTTGGCAACTGACGTCATGCATCCAGACTTTCGTTTTGTGTGAACTGAATTCTATCAGTCAAGTTGGCAGTCTGTTCGCAATGCTGGATGGCTCGTCATCACGGTGTACTCTGAACTGATGTTAAATGATTGGAGGCAAACGCTGGGAAGCTTTCAACGGACCTAGGTTTCGTGATTGCTGGCACTCACAAGTCAGCAAGGGATGTCTGCAGTCATGAAGGAACTCATGTTCCTTCTGAGAAACCTAGGTTCAAGGCATCCTACTGATAACCGCCAACCGTCTAACAAGAATACAGAGACCATTATGTCAATTCATGAATAATCCCCATTCAGACATTACTGATGAAACCAAAATACGTAATTTAACGAAGAGGCTCTTTTCGGCGGGCGAATTTATTTCCCTCACTAGCTGTACAGTTGCATCTGTATGCAGTCTCCTTTTTATGAAGGAGGGTAGTAACAAAAGTGATGAGTTGTAGCAAACACAGTAGTCAATATCTAAAAGGAGTTGAATAAGCGTATTAGAGTTGCGTAATGAGATGAATAACTTAATAAGTGAGTTGTGACTAGGATGTACATAGAAACGAAGGAAAATATGGAATTATGTGCAAGATTCCTAAAGAAGTACAAGAGTTAGAAGGAGTTAGAAAGACAGACAAACACAACTCAAGTCAGAAGGAACCAACAATGTTTTATTACCATGATAAGAGAAGTGATTGAATAATTTTCTTTTGTATGCATAATTCTGGTTTTTCTATTTAAACGGCTAAGGCTTCAGCAATACAAAGGAGACGAAAGCACATTACCTGTCTTCGGGAGGTTGTTCTTCACTTTGTAGATTACTTTGAAGAAGGCGTTTGTTGAGATGGTGACCAGTAACCAGTGTTCGGTTAGCGTGCTCACATTTTATAGAGCCACTACTACCTTTCTGCAACCATGCAGTGGGATAGTGTTCTTGAACCCTTTTAGACAGGATATGAGTCGAACAGCTAATCTACTTGGCTGCACAAGAACGAATAAACTGATATATGCACACTGAAGTGGTAAGATGTGAGATTTTGTCTTAAGACCTCTGCATACTAATGAAAAACTGGAGAACACTAATCTAATCGTTGTTGCGAAGAATGTTCTCCTCAGTTACATCATTCATAGAGAACTGGCTTTGATGTAGGCATTAAAGATGGTGACTAAAACGATAACAGTGAGAGCATCCTTAGTTCAATCAATCAGCTAGGAAAACATATATATATCATCGCTGAATAAGGCATGGAATGGCAGTCAAACTGTAACAATAGAAGACAAGGGCCAGGCAACAGAACGTTTATTACGTATTTATAGATTTTGATGTACATTATTGTAGGTTAATGTTAGTAGAAAATACAATCTTTTGATTGGTTGTTTCTCACAGAAAGTTAACCTTGCATCTCTTGTGGCTGTGTCACTTCATCTATATGTTAACTGTATCCGCCTGTCCATCTTGACCTTGTTTTCACATGACTAACATTGACCTCAATTACTGTCAAACAATTTGGCTAGCAACCATTTCTCACCACAAAACCTCTACCTCATTTTCACGGAACTCGAAAAGGCCTTCGACAACGCTGACCGAGAAGTAATTTGGAAACGGTTTCAACACTACGTCGTGCCTCAAGTTCTTATCAACCTAACTCAACAGCTACATGACAGTGGCACGCATCAAGTGACCCACTAAAGAAAACTCAGCAAAGACTTTCAATTGAAGATAAGAGTAAGATAAGGCTGTCTGCCTATTATCACCCACGATGATATTCCTAACTGTGGTGGACTGGATTATGCGTCAGACTGTGCTTGGAAGTCAGAAGACAGGAATACGTTCAACCGATAAGAAGACTTCAGAAGATCTGAATTTCGCAAATGATATACGTCTAATGTCACATAAACTCTAAGACTTGCAGGCGAAAAACAACAAACTGGCTGACGAACCAGAGAAGACAGAAGTTCAAGTGGACTTATAGAATACAGAGGTGATGAATATAACCAACCAACCAACAGCAAGAACAACAACCAGCATCAATCACCATCAACGGGACGAACTTGAAAGAGGTTACTTTCTTCACTTATCTACGAAGCATTGTTTC